AACTTATTCTCCAAAGCACCTGAAGGCAGGAAAAGAAGCAAGGGATGGAAACTAATCAAGGAGAGAAGGAACCTGGAATTAAGGAGAAACTTCCTAACAGTGAGGACAATTAACCAGTGGAAGTACGGTATTTTTCGGAGTATAAGACATGCCTTTTTCCCTTAAAAGGGCGGGAGGGGGGAATCTGGGTGCGTCTTATACACTGAATATAGCATTTTTGGCCTTGCGAAACCCCACCCCCTTTGCAAAAATGCCCATGCATAGCCTTTAGGAGGCTTCCAGAGTGCTCCTGAGTGCTGGGGAGGGCAAAAAAATGAGCAAAAAGCGGGCCTTTTTTTTTGCTTATTTTTGCCACCACCCTGAACCCCCAGGAGCACTCTATAAGCCTCCTAAAGGCTTTGCATGCACTTTTTTTGACCCAAAAAATGGGGCCATTTTCATGAAAAATTGGCCTTTTTTGCCCTCCCCCCAGCCCCCAGGAGCACTCTACAAGCTTCCTAAAGGCTATGCATGCCTTTTTTTTTTTTTTGACATAAGTTTTTGGGAGGTCTGCAGAGTGCAAAAACTTTTTTTTTTTTAATTTGCCTCTTCAAAATCTTGGGGCATCTTTTCCTCCAGTGCGTCTTATACTCTGAAAAATACGTTACTTGCCTCCAGAGGTTGTGAATGCTCCAACACTGGAAGCTTTTAAGAAGAGATTGGACAACCATTTGTCTGAAATGGGGTAGGGTCTGCTGCTAGATAAGAGGGTTGGATTAGAAGACCTCCCAGGTCCCTTCCAGCTCTATTCTGATTCTGAACTAACCCTGGCTTCTGAATTGGTTTTCCTTTATCTGTCATTTTGCAAAAGCCACGGGATCCACTCTGCTTTATTTGGGTGGGTGCAGAGCTGAGCAGATGACCCAGGGCTTTCTCTGAAACAACCTTCCAGTTGATAGCCGTTATACCCAGGCAGCCCACATGTTACAAAAATCCGTTTAATGAGCCTTCAGAGTTACAACAGCGTAGCCAAAAGTGACTTACAGCCGTATCTCACACTTAACCACCATGGCAGCATCCCCATAGCCACGTGATTAAAATTCAGATGCTTGGCAATCGTCTCGTATTTATGAGAATTGCAGCGTCCTGAGGTCACGCCATCCCCTTTTTCTGACCACCTGACAAGCAAAGTAAATGGGGAAGCCTGCCTCATTTAACAACCGTGTTACTTACTAAACATCTAGGGCGATTCACTTAACGGTGGCAAGAAAAATGGGGCAAATTCACCCCAAAAGTGTCTCGCTTAGCAACAGAAATGTTTAGGCTCAATTGTGCTTGTGAGTTTGAGGACCACCTGTTCTTTATTCTTCCTCCCCATCTCCAACACACCTGTTTGCGAATATAAGCGTCGTACAACTGTGCTGTGAATAATACCTTGATCTGTGTAGGGACAGGGTGTGGCAGCTTCAAATTAGGGGTGGTGAAGTGGGGTGGCTTGGGGAGGGCAGAAGCAAGCTGAGACATTCATTGTTTGTGCTTGTTGGGTCAGTTTTTTGACATTCCTGGCTGATGCCAGAGATGTACATGTTCTCCCACCTCTTGTGAGGAACTTCCATAATTTATAAGCACGATTTATAATTTATAAATTGTTTGAGGAAGAGTTATCTAGTGTGTATGTCTATAGGGCAACAGTTGTCGACTTATCCAGGGATGATCGCAGGGATAATTTTGCATCATGCTTGCAGAGGTATATTTGACCCATTTGTTTCAAAATAGCCGAAAGATGATGCCCTTAGTTCTCACTGCAAAGTCATGCATGATTTTGGCATGCTTGCCTAAGATCATGTGAAGTTTAGCAACGGGGAGAGAAACTTTTCGCCACCGAAAGAAAAGCAATTTTTGAGAGACTCGGGAAGTGAACCGCTTTCTCTTTGTCTGGGAGGCCGAACAAACAGTGGTTTGTCTTACAGTTACAAAATTGATTTAGTGACGGTTAAACAGGACTGCAAAAAGTTACTTACGGAAAGTCTTTTCACTTAATGACTGTTGCAGCCTCCTAACAATCACCTGATCAAAATCCAGGTGTTAGTCCTGTTTTCCCGAAATTAAGATCCAATCGGAAAAGTAAGCCCTCGCACGATTTTTTTTAGGATACTTGAATTATAAGCCCTACCCCCAAAATAAACCCCAGATACTATTGTCAGCTGCACGGATGCCTTTAATACCATATTTCCTTGAAAATAAGACCTAATTGGGAAAATAAGCCCTTACATGTCTTTTGGAGCAAAAAATTAATATAGGACCCAGTCTTATTTTGGGGGAAACATATTTTCAATTATTGCGGCATCCAGGGGTCATGTGACTATAATGGGCAACCTTCCCAGCCAACTTCCAACAATCATAGCCAGCTTTGCTGAACAACTGCACGATTCATGTAGCAACTACAGAAATTTGCTTAACAAGCATGGTTAGAAGGTTGTCAAATCCGATGTGGCTCAACAATCGGCTTCCTTTAGCAATAGTAATTCTGGGCTCCAATTGTAGTTGTAAGTCGAGGATTACCTGCAGGTTACATGAGAGGTTTTGCACCGTGCAGGCGTGTACAGGTAATCCTTGACTTACAACAGGTCACGCAGTGACCATTCAAAGTTACAACGGCGCTGGAAAATTGACGTGACTACTTCTTTCTCCCCGTTTTGAGGAGAGAAAGCGTTCAAGTAGGACCAATGCTCATTTTCACACTTATGACCATTACAGCGTCCCTGGAGTCACATGATCAAAAATTTTGGATATTTGGGAACTGACTCATATTTATGATGCCCCAGGGTCACGTGATCACGTGATTTTTTGAGACTTCCTGACAAGCAAAATCCATGGGAAATC